ATGTCTGGTTTGGGCTTGAGAATTCCAAATTTAAAAGTGTTGAAATAATTATTACTAAGTGAAAACAAGTATGTGGTAAAAATAATACTAACTTGTGCCCTGACTGACATGTTTATATTATGTGCTTCAAATATTATAAACATGTGAGGGCATAAGTTAGTATTATTTTTAACACATACTTGTTATCACTTAGTAATATTTCAACACTTTTAAATCTAGAATTCTCAAAGACAAATCAGTAATCAAATAAATAAACTTATGTTTTAAAACTTATGTTTCCCTTTTTTTTTTTTTTCTCATCTTTCTTTCTTTCTTTTTAATAATTATTAATTACATTATAGATTTTATAGGCACTTTCTCGATTAATCTTATATAATGATTCACTTAGATTAGATGTAAATGATATATATACATCAAAAGTATATTTTTATTGAATTCTTTAGAATAATATTAGTAATTTCTCATCAAAATACACTTGTTCACAAGTGTCTCAAAATCTATAATCTCTATAGACACCAAATATTCCTAAATTTTGTTGATATTTTCTCCCCATTATCATCACTGCCAGCTAATTACCTTGCATGCGTTGAACAAACTTTGCATTCATTTCAGGCAAATTCATCATAATCCAGTTTTTCTTAACTAATATTAATTTTTTAAAAGAATTAAATCCTTAAAATTTGAGTTGTGGTACTTGCAATTTTCACAAAATTTGTACTCATTAAAATAATGATATCTAAACCTGTATGGTATGTTTGGATGTAATAGAAAATGAGTAAAAAATAATAAAGTGAGAAAAAATGAGAAATGAGATAGAAATGACGAGTTCTTTGGATGGATAAAAAGAAGAGAAAAAACAACCAGAAAACTATACTTGTTTGGGTGACTGAAAAAGAAAATACAAGACTAGATTTTTATAAAAAAAAATTCATAATAGCAATAAATATTTTATTTTAACAAAAAATAATATAATAAATTTCCTTAATTATGTAATCTTTTAGTTATTTTTATTTTTATATTATTTTCAACAAAATATAATAAAAAATTCACCACTTTTACAATTATGTAATATTAACTTACGCACTTACATATTCATATTCTGTGCTTCACATATTATATATTATATGACTTAATTAATAATTAAAAATTATTTACGCAAAGGTGCTAGTTTTATTTTCATGCTTCATACTTCCTTATTATATAAGTTATACCATATACAATAATAAATCAATTAATAGTAACTTTTTTAAATTTTTTAATATTTCATTAAGTAAATCTTCTATTTATTTTTTAAATCTCTATTTTTTTATATTAGTTTTTTAAATTTAAATTTTTAGTTTCTAAAATTAACAACGGTAAAGTTTTAGTTCTTGTTATTATGAAATGTTAAAATTAAATAATAAGGTAATGATTTACTATGTTAAATGATATATAAATGAACATAAAATGACAACACTTTAGGATTTATTAAAAATAATTTATTTTTATTTATAACTTTGAAATTTTTGAATAGTAATGTCTTTTTTTCCTTTTCTTTTTTTTATGACCTTTTTCTTTTAAGTTGAGTTGTATTAAAAATTAATATAACCGATTATAAATAGACTTAAAATCTAAATTTTTTATATTTGGGAAATATATGTTAGGCAATATTAAAATTATTATTTTAAATTTTTTAAAATTAAAATTTTAAAAATCTACTCAATTGGTTGATGCTTTAATTACAACTTATTATTTATTTGATGTTTGGTTTGTCCTTGAGAATTCCAAATTTAAAAGTATTGAAATAATTATTACTAAGTGAAAACAAGTATGTGGTAAAAATAACACTAACATATGCCCTGATTGACATGTTTATATTACGTGCTTCAAATATTATATATTATATGACTTAATTAATAATTAAAAATTGTCTACGCATAGATGCTAGTTTTGTATTCATGCTTCATACTCCTTTATTGTAGAGTTCATTAGTAACTTTTTTTTAAAAATGTTATAATATTTAACATTCAACTAATCTTCTATTTATTCCTTAAATCTGTATTTTGTTTATATTAATTCTTTAAATTTAAAATTTAAATTTTTAAAATAAACAACGGCAAATTTTTTTAGTTCTTATTATTATGAGATGCTAAAATTAAATAATAGGATAATAATTTATTATATTAAATATAAGACATTAAGATGACAATGTTTTAAAATTTATTAAAAATAGTTTATTTTTATTCATAAATTTAAAGTTTTTGATAGTAATGTTTTTTTTCTACTTTAAATTTTTTCATGACTTTTACCTTTTAAGTTGGATTGTATTAAAAATTAATATAGCCAATAATAATTAGAATTAAAATCTAAAATTTTTATATTTAAGAAACTTATTTTGGGCTGTATTAAAAATTAATATTTTGAATTTTTTAAAATTAAAATTTCAAAAATCTAGTACAATTGGGTAAGGTTTTAATTACAACTTTTTATTATTTATTTGATGACTTATTTGTCTTTGATAATTCTAAATTTAAATAACTATTTTAATTTAAAAAATTATATGATATGTATACAATCTATAATTGATATTAAAAAATCTATAAAATCCGTTTAAATACAAACAAAATCAAGACCCGCAGATTAATAATGTATAAAATCTTTAATAGATATTAAAAAATTTCATAAAATCGAACAAGTTATAGTTTAATAATTATAGTAACTTCTATAAATACTCTGAACATGCGTGTTATGTCATTGACATGCAAAAGCAATTGGTTCAAAGTGTCTGTACTTCTGATTTTGAAGATAAATATCGACAATGGCTGTCTCAAACAACGTATGTACCCATCTGACGTTGGGTAAGTGTCCATGTACTGCAGCAGAGACAGAAGAGAGTGATTCCAACAGCAACGAGGTTTGCACCCATTTAACGTTGAGTGTGTGTCAGTGCACTAGAGCTGAGATACATGTCTCTTCAATCAAGAAAAGGAAACATTGCCACAAAGGTCCCTTTGTTGCAAAAAAGAAGGCATGCAAAGACTTGGTGGTACAAGAGGATGCTCTGGTGGTACACGAAGATGATGATCCTTGGAAGATAAAAAAAGTGTTGAAAGAGAGTGATCTTGGCAATATGAGTAGGCTCATGGTAGGGAAGGATTTGGCAGAAAAGTTTGTGTTACCTGTGTTGGGTGATGCTGCTGAGATTGAGAAGGGAGTTAGTGTTATGATTTGGGATGTGGACACCTACACCATGCACTCTCTTGTTTTCAAGAAATGGGCTTCTTCAAGATGCTACATTTTTATGTGAAAATGGGTCCAAGATTTTGTTAAGAGAAGGGGCTTGAAGAAAGGGGATGAGATTGGCTTTTACTGGGATCCATATAATAGTCACTTCAATTTCTCTGTTCTTAGAGTCAATTAATATGAGATAGCTCGTGTACAAAGAGCTTAGAAATCATTCAAAATTGTGTATTTCATGTTTTAATTTCTAGTAGTTGTAAGGTTGGAGGAGTTTTAATATTCTTGCTTTCATTTATTATAAGCCTTCTCAGATCTTACGTTGTTTTTATGTGTAAGTATTATGCTTTCTATTAATGACATTTGTTGCTTGTTCCAAAATCATGGTAGGCTATCGATGAAGAAATAGATCATACAGAACTACTCATAAAATTAGTAGTTTTTAAAGTATGTTGTTTTTGTGGTTTATGGTTTAAATTCTGAGATTCTTGTAATTGAAATTTCATACTACGATTTCAATTGCATCTTGATTATGGTTACAACACGCTATGAGTTGATGCATGTGGCAATTGTTTGATGATGAAAGAGCAATTTAATGTTTACGAGCTACATATTTGGTGACCACTGTGATAACAATTTTATAATAACACGTAATTATTAAACTTTGACTAATATACTTTCTATTTCGACCACTCAATTGTGTCTTTCAAGAAAGAAAGAAAAAAGTCAAATGTCCCGATAATTTGAATTCCTAATTTTCTGCCTTCAAGAAATATCTTTATAGGCCATTTTTATTGCTGATAAAAAATTTGAAATGAAATTCTAACTAATTTGTGTTGAGTACTTTGCAACCATTGAACTTGCACATTTTCTAAGAGCTTGTTTGGTTATTTCAAATTTTAAGAGTACACAGTTTTGGTTATCTATATTTTTATTCAAGATGCTAAAAATTTATGGGAAAATGGGTCCAAGATTTTGTTAAGAGAAGGCGCTTTAAGAAAGGGGATGAGATTGGTTTCTAATGGGATCCATATAGTAGTCACTATAATTTCTCTGTTCTTAGGGTCGATTAAGATGAGATAACACTAGCAGAATAAGGTTAGAAATCATTATAAAAAGTGTTTTTCGTCTTCTATTTTCTAGCTGTTGTAAGATTGGAGGGGTTTTAATCGCTGAGTTTGGGTTGGTGATAACAACTCTAATTCATCGATCGTCACTATATATTTGACCTTTGATCAATATTTTTTTCATGTTTAAATTTAAGTAAAAATATTCAAAGATTTTTCAAACTATAATTATAAAATATAAAAATATGTATATTTTACTCATGTTAAAGTGTTGGAGGATTATATTTCACATTTTTCAAGTTTAAGAAATAAATTTAGTATGTGTCGGTGTTGGGGTACATAAAACCTTGGGCATTTAGAGGATGGGCTCTTGACTTGATATGACAACTTCATCCTCCATCTTGAGAAGACCATCAATATATTTTGGTGGCTTTAGATTAATTTACAAAATGGTTAAAAGCTATCCCTTTGAAAAATGTTGAAGCAGAATAGATTATTAATTTCATTGAGGATAATATAGTGCCAATCAAGGAATGCTCTTCATTGGTTGAAGGGCCATAAGATACACAGAATCCTTAGATATTAAAATGCTTAATTTGACTCCATACTTTTTGCAGTGAGTACAGATTTTAATAGTTATAGCATAGTAGATTAAAAAGACTAATTATTTATGCCCATGAGAGTAATGTAATTACTTTTTGGTCTACACTTTGTAGTTCAAATCCTGTAATGTGTTAGAGCACTGGTGCCATCAAGTCCTTTTGCATCAAAGTAGGCTACGTAGTCAGCAACTGTTGTTTCCCTGTATTTTGGGGGATTATCTTCTGATAACAATTGCTTTATAGGCCCATAAGGCTTTGTGGATGCCATCACACCAGTGCAAAAAAAGCATGCAACAGATATTCTTGGACCAACATGATTGGCTGTTACTCTGTGTTCAACACTCTTGAATCTATCATTTGTTATCAGCTATAAATCAAATAAACAAATAATTAGCTACATATAAGACCACATCCATCATCAAATATAAACAAATTAAACAAGCATCCCATGCTCAAGTAAGAGATTTATTAGTGGTGTTAACTTATCAACAAGAACCCGCTAACAGAAATAATAAAAAAAAGAGAGGTAAAATGAAGCAAACATTTTATAAAACTTAAAATCAGGTTATGCATCTCAGATTTTAGAAAAGTTAAATGAAAAAATTTATAAGAAAATTGTGATGCATAAGTTGATTTTAACTTATAAGAGAAGTTTGATTCATTATGCTTTTTGTATTCATTGTTAACCTTATCCTAACTAAACTTCATTTAATTCAGTAGAAGGCAGAAAAATGCACTTAAGAAGATAAGAGATGTTATATGCTTTAAAACAAACATGTAGCACATTTGCTAAATTAAATAACTCCAAGATAACTTAGACATGGTTTGTACTATGTTAATAGCTTTGGCATGTACATAGAGCAGTACATATATTCTGGTGGCTTCATTAGTCCATAGAAAATGAAAGTCTCTCCTTAAAGAATGAAAGTGTAGATGTCACATTTATCCATTACAAATTAAAAGTCGTTGAAGGAAGTATACAAAGAATAATAACAGGAAACTTGCCTGCAGAAGATCACCAATATTGACTACTAGAGCCCCAGGAATAGGTGTGATATGAATCCACTTATTTTGGTAAAGTACTTGGAGGCCACCAACATGGTCTTGAAGAAGCACTGTGAGGAAATCATTGTCAGAGTGCTTGGTGGTTCCCATAGTCAAATGTGGTTCAGGAGAAGCAGGATAATAATGGCCAAGAGCAACAAGCCCTTCAGCACATCCCATGTCTTTCAAATGGTTAGGATTCAAACCTAAAGCTTCTGATAACAATTCAAACAGCAAAGTCCCCCGTTTCATTATGTGTTTCCCATACTCCAATAGAATGTCCCTACAAGAATATGCAGTCAATAAGGTAAAAAATTGAAGAGGAATATCAATTCTGGAATATTTCAATTTGTATCATCAGTATGCATTTTATAACTGTTAATACATCTTTTTACTTTGAGTTGTTTTGTTGATTTTAAATTACGGGTTTTTTAATGTGTCTAAGGATATAAAATAAGAAATGAATAAATAGTAAGTTTTTTTTTTTAAAAAATCGTAATGTTTAATATTATTAATTTATTGAATTCTGTGATTTATGATAAAAACATATGAAACATAGTTTCTTATTGAGTGTCTTGGGTACGCATTAGAAAATTATATATAAGTGATGAGAAATATGTATCCTATACCTTTTTTTTAATCAATAGTTGATGAACGATGAACTATAACTAAATATAAGAAAATTGAGACACAATTTTATAGCATTTTCCAACTAATATAAGAAACATCTGAATCTTACCAAACCATGATTTGTGATGTATTTTATACAGAAGTAAACACGTCACTGCTTAACTAGTAACATAATCTATCATTTTAAAAAATAGATATTATGAGCCTGCAAGTTTGAGTACTGATCTATGTTGAAGGATTAAATACTTGATACACAAACATACCTACATATTATAGGAAAATCTTGTGGTTTGATGATATCAGGAGACAAGTAACAGATAAAGGTATCTCTCATATTGAGTGGTGGTGAGCTATAAAGATCAAGATTGTTGGTAAAACAGCCAAGAGATAAGTGAATGACAGGTAAATGACGTGAACTTAGTATCCTTTTCTCATTTATGTCTTTCTCACCCATCGGATGAATACTGAGTACATGCCTTAAATAATGCTAGGAATAACTGAAAATACTAAAAACTAGGAACATAAACACACGAACAGAATAGACTTGGCCAGATATAACTGACCACTAAATAATTGAATGACAAACAAGATTATCCTAAGACCCACTAAATGATAACGATAAAAAACGTGCACTTGACTAATGATAACGGATAATGGCATTTTGAATCATCTTTTCAACACTTCCCCCTTGATTCAAAATCACACACTCCTAACTGTGACCTGAAAAATTGATGCTTGACTTGAGAAAGAGACTTTGTAAATACATCAGCTATCTGCTCATTTGTGCCGCAAAATTTCAAGATTATCTTTTCATCAATTACAAGCTTCCGAATAAAATGATGATGCACATCAATGTGCTTAGTTCTGCCATGAAATGCGGGATTCTTTGTCATAGCAATTGTAGATCGATTGTCACAAAATATCTCAGTTGCTTCCTTCTGCTCAAGACTGAAATCACTAAGAATCTTTCTGATCCATAAGGCTTGTCGTGCCGCTGCTGTTGCTGCTGCATATTCAGCTTCAGATGATGATAAAGCTACCGTTTCTTGCTTCTTTGAACTCCATGTTACTGCTCCAGAACCGAAGCTAAAAACATTGCCAGAAGTGCTTTTTCGATCATCTAAACAACCTGCCCAATCACTGTCAGTGAAACCAACTAATCTGAAATTTGATACTTTGCAATACCAAATACCAAAATTCACAGTTCCTGCAACATAGCGAAGAATTCTTTTTGCTGCTCCAAAATGTTGTTTTGTAGGACTCTGCATAAATCTAGACACAACACTAACACAGAAAGTTATATCGGGTCTAGTGTGCGTTAAATAATTCAAACCACCAATCAGACTTCTAAACAATTTTGAGTTAACTTTATCAGTCCCATCTTCATGCTGTAGCTTCTCATTGATGTTCATTGGTGTGATTGCCTCCTCACAGTTTGCCATGTTAAATTTCTTTAAAAGATCTGCAGCATATTTCTTTTGGCATACAAAAATTCCATCATCAGCCTGCATAACTTGGATTCCCAGAAAATACTGCAACATGCCTAGGTCTGTCATCTCAAAAGTTCTCACCATACATGACTTAAAATCATCAATTAATAACTTTGAGGAGCCCATATAGATCATATCGTCCACATAGAGACAGACCACCAAAAGATCTCCATTACCTTTCTTCTTTAAATAAAGAGTTGGCTCATTTTCACTTCTAGTGAACCCATTGTCCAGGAAGAATGAATCAATCTTGCTATACCAGGCACGTGGGGCTTGCTTCAACCCGTAAAGAGCTTTTCTTAACCTGTAAACTTTAGTTTCATTACCACACACAGTAAAGCCTTGTGGTTGTGAGACATAGACCTCCTCCACTAGATCACCATTCAGAAAAGCAGATTTCACATCAAATTGATACACAGGTAATTGCAATTGAGCAGCTAAAGCCAAAACGATTCTCACAGTTTCAAATCGAGCAACGGGAGAATATGTTTCTTCGAAATCAATACCTTGTTGTTGTGAGTATCCCTTTGCCACAAGTCGAGCTTTATGTTTCTGGACACTTCCATCAGCATTATACTTTGTTCGAAATATCCACTTCAATCCTACAACATTCTTGCCTTCTGGAACATCAACCAACTCCCATGTTGAATTTCTTTCAATGGCATACATCTCCTCCTTCATAGCAATCTGCCATTCAGGTTGTTGTGCAGCTTCTTCAAAAGAAGTTGGGTTAGTGACCAATAAGGCAAAATCACAGGACTCATAAATTTCTCTAAGAGATCTGAATTTTCTTGGTGGTGTTTCGCTACTGCTGCTGGAGGGGCTAATTGCTAGAGAGTCAGAACTAGAGTTTGCAGTATTATTAGGAGAGGAAGGAACTGTATTTGAAGGTTGTTCATCTTCAAAATTTGCTGGAACTTCATTCTCCATGCCTCCCTTGTCAAAATCTACTTTGAATTCCGCTTCTTCATTGAATACAACATCCCTACTAATTATCACTTTGCCACTTATAGGATTATATAAACGATATGCTTTGGATTGAGGACTATAGCCAATGAAAATGCATTTTTCAGATTTTTCATCAAGCTTAGATCGAGAAGTAGTCAAAGCATATGCTGTGCAACCAAAGACTTTTAAGTGGCTTACCCGAGGCTTCTTACCCATCCAAGCTTCATAAGGTGTCTGATTAAGAACAGCCTTTGTAGGTGAGATATTCAAGAGGTACACTGCTGTTGCAACTGCTTCTCCCCAAAACTGATCCGGGAGCCCTTTTGCTTTCAACAAGCTTCTAGCCATTTCTACAACAGTGCGATTTTTTCGTTCCGCAACTCCATTTTGTTCTGGTGTGTATGGTGCAGTGAGTTCCCTGCGAATGCCATTCTCATCACAAAAAACATTAAAATCATTAGACAAAAATTCACCACCACGATCACTTCGAAGTGCTTTCAGCCTTTTCTCACTTTGCCTCTCCACCAACGCCTTAAATTTCTTAAAATTCTCAAAAGCTTCAGATTTGAATTTCAAGAAATAAACCCAACTCATGCGGCTGTGGTCATCTGTAAATAGCAAAAAATAGCGACTTCCACCGAGTGACTCTGTTTTCATAGGCCCACATAAATCAGTATGCACAAGTTCAAGACAGTGAGATGCCCTCCATGATTTTCCAACAGGAAATGACTTCCTGTTCTGCTTCCCATAAACACACCCTTCACAAAAATCAAGTTCACCAATTCTTGGCAAGCCAAAAACCATTTCTTTTTTACTGAGAAGCTTCAAGCCATTCAAATGCAAATGCCCATAACGTAAATGCCACAAATTAGCCTCATTGTCCCTCCTAACAATTAAGGCCTTATTCATTATATTTGAAACATCAAGAGGAAACATCTTGTTTTGAGTCATATGAACAGTCTCTATGATTTGACTAGATTTTTTATCACGAATAATACATGAATCGCCGTCAAACACAACAGAATATCCACTAGTCATTAATTGTCCAATGCTCAGTAAATTATGAGCTAAATTAGGCACAAACTGTACATTAAAAAGAAGTTTGACATTCCCTTGCATAGTTTTAATGCCAATTGTACCTTTTCCTTCAACCTTCATTTGCTTGTTGTCTCCAAGTCGAACTTCACTTTTCTGTGATTCGTCAAGCTCTTTGAATAGTGATTTGTTTCCAGACATGTGGTTGGAGCATCCACTGTCTAAAAACCATACATCTTCGTTGTTGCTGTTATACTGAATTGGATAATGGGCCATGAACAACTTGTTTTCCTCTTCTACATTCTCTGTAAAATTTGCCTGTTTCTGCTCTTCTCTCTGTTTGGCCCAACAATCAGCTTCTTTGTGTCCCATTTTGCTACAATACCTGCATTGAATTGAGCTTTTGTATAGGCGAGATTCACCATATTGCCCTCTCCCTCTGCCATATTGGTCTCTGCGACTGCTTCCATGAAATTGACCCCTGCCTTTGGAGGATTCTTCCTTCACTTGAAAAGCCTTTTCCTCAGATTTTTCATGAGACCTACCAATTCTGGCTTCATGGGCTATCAAAGAACTCATCAATTCATCAAAAGTATAAGTGGACAGGTCCTTAGTTTCTTCAATTGCAGCAACAACATGATCAAATTTTGACGTTAAGCTTCTTAACACCTTACTCACAACAATTTCATTACTCAAAATTTCACCATAAGACTTCATTTGATTAACAATCCCAGACACCCTAGACAAGAATTCTTGCACTGATTCTTTGTCTTTCATAGCTAAAGTTTCAAAATCACGACGAAGAGTTTGTAATTTTATAGTAATTACCTTCTTGTCGCCTAAATATTCCTGCTTCAAAATCTCCCATGCTTGTTTAGAGGTGTTAGCTGCTGAAATTCGGATGAATATGTCATCCTCAAGGGCTGACTGAATTAGCATTAGTGCTTTTGCATCCTTCTTACGATTTTCTTTTAACCGCTGATCAGGTTCTGCTGGTGTCGGATCTGGCTCTTCATACCCGTTTTCCACCAACTCCCATAGTTCTTGAGACTTGAACATCGTCTTCATTTTGAGACTCCAAAGATGATATTTTTCACCTTTGAAAATTGGAATTAGGGGCTGTGCTACTGGGTTGGTTCCATTACTGGCCATGACTCTCTTTTAATTTGGATAATTTTTGTTAGTGGTTCACTCGCTACACTCAATCTTCTCTTGAAGGACCGAAACCTGGTTTATCTTTGAGCTTTGATACCACAAATGTTGGTAAAACAGCCAAGAGATAAGTGAATGACAGGTAAATGACGTGAACTTAGTATCCTTTTCTCATTTATGTCTTTCTCACCCATCGGATGAATACTGAGTACATGCCTTAAATAATGCTAGGAATAACTGAAAATACTAAAAACTAGGAACATAAACACACGAACAGAATAGACTTGGCCAGATATAACTGACCACTAAATAATTGAATGACAAACAAGATTATCCTAAGACCCACTAAATGATAACGATAAAAAACGTGCACTTGACTAATGATAACGGATAATGGCATTTTGAATCATCTTTTCAACAAAGATTGCTATTGTGCACAAAGGATCTTGACCCATCTCTCGTATAGAATTCTTTTTTGGTTTCATTATTCTGCTCATAAAATCTTTGCACCCCATTTTTCATCTCCTAAATAATCCCTTGATGTTTTCACCACCCGAAAGAAACCCCACGTTTCTGATGTTTCCTTGACTATGTCAACAATCCCTTGATGCTTACTTAGATCTTTGTCAATATTTGAAAGGTCTCTTATTGGAATATTATGGCCTTGTTAGCCTAAATTTGAGGCGTTCTCATATTTGATTGAAGCATATTTTTGTGGTGTTCAATTATGTGCATGATTTTTCTTTTGAGTGTACATGCACATATGTTGTGGACTAAATCAGAGATTGACCAACCTTCAGCAATGATTGATGGATATATGATGTAGTAATGAAAGAAATGAAAGGCTGACTAATATGATAGTATATAAATGTTAGGTTCAGTATATAATAAATAATGAGTTTGGACCATAATGACTAATGAGAAGAGTAGATACATAATGAGAAATATAGAAATAAGATGAAAAATGTGAAAAGAGAAATGAAATGAGAAAGGAACATGATAAGAATAAGTATGAATAGTTCAGAAGTACACTTGAAGTGTGGAAGATGGAAGCGATTGAGAAATTTTAGGGAAATGAGAGTAGTGGATACTCTTCTTGAATTATGCATAACAAATGACTTTAGAAATTATATTTACTTTAGAAATGACTTTAGATTATCCGGACAATGGTAGAATCCATCATACTGTTTGTGTAGTTATATACAGAGGTTTGATCAGGCCATCAAATGCATAGAACTATGTGTACATCTTTTTAAACCATGATCAGCATGGAAGACCCAATCATTAAACTGTCGAGAGGATCAAAATCTTGAAACAAGTTAATAATTTATTAATATATAACTTAAATAAAATAAATAAATTTTGAAAGATTAAATTAAAAAATCAAGTCAATTAATTTTTAAAAATTATAATTTTTTAGAAGATCAAAATCTCATTTAAGACAATTATTAATTAACTATTTGCTTTGAAACCTTTAGGGTTTTGACTTTTGATCCATATTTTGAATTAACCAATAATATTATTTAAGTATGTGCACTGTATTTATTTTCGTGATCTTTTTATTTTTTAGTCTAAAGTAATATTTTAAATTTTTATAATATTATAAAAAATCTCTCAGTATTTATTACAAAAAATAATAAAGATTTAGTTTTAACCTCTAACATTTTTCTTCTTATGATCATTTTATTTTTATAAAAGATTATATAATTGGTTTACTAATGGCCGTGTTGAACAAATCTTTATATATCAAAAAGGGTAGTCCGAGGACATTTTTTATTCTCAAATCGAAGGTATTTTTGCAATCCTCATTTTAATATATCTTTAAATTTTTAATCACAATAAAATACTTATTAATATTTATTTATCATAACTAGTCAATAATATTATACTTTGAACTTCCTAATTTTTTAATCTATTACAGTCTTTCAAAATTTATTATTTTAATAATTATTTTAGTCTAAGTATTATTTTTTGTTAATATTTGTAAGTTTCTGCATAATAATAGTAATAATAATAATAATAATAAAATTATTATTATTATTATTATAGAAGAAGAAGATCTAAGATATTTATCATATTCTCCGTGGATGTGTTTTGAATATAGAGTCCTTTGATGTTAGAGAATCAACTATCCGCTAGACTAAACAAATTTCATTTTTGATAAACTACTATATCTTGATATGATCATCTGTTGAGACAAAAAATTCTCATTAGTCCTTTATCATCCTATCGTTTTGCCTTTCTGGTGTTTGACTTAATGTTACAGAAGAAAGATGATTTTATCTTTTCTAGATAAATGTCAGACACCTATAGTTTGTTCGATGATAATTTTATTTCTTATAGTTAATTTCAAACATCCTTTATCCTTTCCCTTTAATCGTATGTTCTATTATTGCTTTAAGAGATCTTTTACATACACTAGTGAAATATTAGTGTAAGTAAAAAAAAATCTTATATTTAGATAAAAAAAATTTCATTTAACTTGTTAGACGTAAGATAAATAAAAAGTTAAAATTAAGTGTACAAATTTTTAGACTTACACCGATAAAGATCATGTTTTATCTATATATATATATATATATATATATATAAATTTTTCAATAATTAAAATTATAAACAAACCTTTCAATTTAAAAACCTTTTATATTAATTATTAAAATATTAATAATTTTTGCTAATATAGCAATTTATAATTAAATAATAGTATAACAAATCTTTACGTTTTCGGTGCACTCAATTGAATTCATAATAAATACACTTATTTTCACAATATGCCTTTGATAAAATAATTAACATACATTTTTACAAATAATCTTTTATATAAGTAAAAGTTATTCAATAGTTTTATAAAATAGTTAAATAAGTACATATAAACAGGTATAAGTTCTGTAGTGCCAATATCCATACAATTTTGCAAATATGATGATGATGTTCTATAAACTATCTCACAAATTACTAAGGTTTAAAGAGTTTAGTATATATGATGATGTAAAGGGCTAGGTTGTGGTACTGCGCATATATAGTCATAATACATTCATACACCACCCCATCATGTCACATCTTGTGCCCATGAAAGTAGTTCATTTATTTATGAATGCAGATTTGGTGCCTTCAACATTTTCTAGTTCAAATCCTATAACGAGTAAGAGAACTGGTTCCATCCAATCCTTTAGATACAAAGTTGGCTTCACACTCAGCAAATGTAGTTTCCCTGTATTTGGGAGGATTATCTTCTGATAACAGTTCCTTTATCGGCCCATAGACCTTGGAATATGCCTTCAAACCTGGGTAGAAAAAGCATGCAACAGATATTCTTGGACCATCACGATTTGCAAGTACTCTGTGTTCACAACTCTTGAATATATCATTTGTTACAAGCTATAATTCAAACAGGAAATTAATTAGCTCCACAACTACATTTGACAATGATCATTCAAATAAGAAAATAATAATAATAATAATAATAATAATAATAATAATAATAATAATAATAAAATCAAGTCTTATCTCACTAGTCAATTTATTCATATGGTAATTAATCAACAACATTAAGACGCAAAAGGACATAACATCTCAAGCAAGATGGAATATGAGATACCCAATATACTTCAAATCAAATTGAACATATCTCAGATGTGACGAACTGGATGTACCAAAACAAGCCTAAGATGTCTTAGACATGCCATTTCAATCTGCAGGTTCCTTGGTTTGTCCAACTTCGGCATCATTGGCATGTTGTACATTTATAGTGCAAGATATATTCTGATTATCTCATAAGTGGGATACCAAGGGATTTTGTTCATGTTAACTATATCCTTTCTTATTATATCCCTAAATAAAAAGAAGCTATATTTGTAATTAGTATCCATCATAAATTAATAACACCTGCAGAAAATACACACAACAGAAGAAAAACAAGAAACTTGCCTGAAGGAGATCACCGATATTAACTACCAAAGTACCAGGTACAGGCCTTATATCAATCCAGTTATTTTGATATAGAACTTGGAGGCCACCAATGTTGTCTTGGAGAAGCAGTGTGATGAAGGAATTGTCAGCATGCTTGGTGGTTCCCATAGTCATATGTGGTTCAGGACATGCAGGATAATAATGGCCAGCAGTAATAAGCCCCTCAGCATAACCCATATCCTTTAGATGATTTGGATTCAAACCTAAAGCCTCTGATAACAGCTCAAATAGTAAAATCCCAAGTCTCATTATGTGTTTCCCGTATTCCAACAATATATCTCTGCAAGAATATGCAGTCAATTAGAAATAAAACTCAAGTGGGAATTCAATTCTAGACCTTTTCATTTTACCACCTATAAATACATGTAAGCCAAAAATTTATTTATTTATTTTTTTCAATTTGAAAGATAATAAAAAGAAATCTTCATGTAAACAAATGAGGGAACAAGCAACAAACAAATGGAGTAAAATACACAAGATACCTGCATGCAACAGGAACTTCTTCTGGTTTGGGATCAGGATACAAGCAACACCTAAAAGTATCCCTCCAATTGAGTTCTAGCCTTGAGCTGTAGAGATCAAAATTGCTATTATACAAAAAGAATCTCAATCTATCTCGTGAATGGAATCCTCTTTTTCCTTCAGTGTCCATCTCATGAAACCTTTTTACCCCATTTTTCATCTCCTCAAGAACATTCATAGGGATGCCATGATTCACCACTTGAAAGAAACCCCATGTTTCAGATGCTTCCTTTACCATGGCAACAAGCTCTTGATGCTTACTCGGATCTTTATCAATATCTGCAAGGTCTATCACTGGCATAACATGGCATGCGTTGGATGAATTTGAGGCATTCTCAACTTTGTCATGTTGATTATGGAACAAGCTAGGGACCTTCTTAACACCAGCATCAACAAGCCCTTTCACACCAGCTTTTGTTTCATCAAATGCTTTGCGTTCTCTCAATATAAAATCAAAGTCTTGGTTGGTTATTGCCATATGTAGTGGCCTTGGAGGTAGGAGTGGAACTGAAGAGAGAGCAGATGATATCTAGAAAAGTATAATCTATCTATTATCTATTTATATTATAACATATACTTCCTAAAGCACGGAAAGGATATTTTAATGCATAAACTAATATTATTTTTATCATGTAATTTTTTCACTTAGCTGTCATAATATAGTATTTTACAAAATTATAATGTATTTTAATGCATAAACTAATATTATTTTAATGCAAAAGTATAACTCTCATTCTTTCTCTTAATATAATATAGTATTTTAACAAAATTTCTCTAAACCACGTCAATCCTTGGTAATCGATATCCCTTGCAAAAGATCTTTAGACAATTTCTCATTAATAACAAAACTGATTACACCATTAGGTTGCTGGTTGATCTCTACAGCAACTCAAAAGTTAGCTACACCACTGTTAGAGTAAAAATAAGAAGAGTTACATGACTCAACTTTTGGATATCGATTTTTTAATTCTTATTTAGAACTGTATTAGTTATAAGGAGCAAATATGCCGTTGATTTAACTTCAAATGACTATAAGTTTGTGAACATAAGACACTTTACCTAAAAAAATGTTGTGATGTTCTTCATAATTTGGCTCTAAAAAATGCTACGGTAAGTACCCCTCTCAAACATTGTCTTAGAATTCTATTTTAAAAATATCATAATTTCTTTTATCATAAAAAAAAAACTTAAATTAAATGTTACGGTAAAGAAAAAAAAAATCCATATCACATTTTCATATTAAAATGTTTATAACAAATAATTTCAGCATAATTAATTGGAATCAATTATCTTATTTATAAATTTATAAAAAATGAATTACGTGATGTGGTACAACTAAAAGAAAAGGCATATTAAAAAGTTAATGAATATAAATTTATTAGCAAATAATTATATAACATAAAACTAAAATTATTATTTTACACCTATTAAATTATTAAGTTTTGTTAAAAGGAATTATATTATGAATCAATTAAACATAACGAAAATTATATTATCGTGGTCAATAAATCTGCACAAGGCATGCAGTGTTTTAATCTAGTAAATACTATAAGGATATTATTAACTTCAATTTTTAGAATTAAATTTAAGTAAATAATATATATTTAATAAAATTATAATAATATAATATATTTTTTTGCAATGAAATTTACTATTTTATCTGCCTTTTTCATCTGTAATTTATTTAAAATTTTGATGGAATGTAAGAATATAATAAAAAATATTTGGTTAGAATTTTAAAATGACAAAGAAAAAAATATTTTTTCTTAAAAATAAAAAATTAAGAAAAAAATATACATTTAAATGTTAGAATTCAATTCTATCCATTGAAGTTGTTCACACTTTTTAATCCTTCAACAGTTAGCCACTATGTGTGTTACCGTGACCCATTTCTTGGAATGTTAAGTGTCACATAAGTAGACGAAATTAATGACTCATCTAATGGTTAGATTGCAAAATACCCCATTAACAGACAAAATAATTGACTCACCTTACAAATTATCACAAAATAATAATAATAAGTAATTGTCTATTTTGATCTTTCAATGCTGTACATCACATTCTTGATTATTTAAAGAATATACAAACAACATCAAATTAATCTCTGTCTTTCAATGTCTATTTTAACATAATTAGATATTGTTATTTTATTTTTTTATTAAAATTAAAATATATAGGAAATGACAAAGAAAATAAATTAATAAAAAATAAATAAATAAAAATGAATAGAATACAAGAGATTTCTAAAAAAAGAGAATTTTCCGTAGTTGAAAAAGAAAAAATGAACATGTGGAAGGAGATAAGCATAAAGTAGAAAACGAATCTTACATACATCCATAAAAGGTGATTTCGTTGCATTTGATTCTTTCTAATAATCACATAATGTGTTCTAATCAATATAAACTTAGTATTATATATATAAAGTTGATGCAATTTTATCTGTATAAAATCTAATATATATTTGTACTAAAAATTTTATTTTATAAAGAAATTATTTTTAAAACAGAAATCAAATATACTCTTAATCTTTTTGTCTTTTTAAAAATAAAATGATGTCACAACCCCAAGGGCAAGGTCATAAACAAAATTCACTAAATCTTAGCAATACACAATAATTACTCTTAATTAGACATTCATGGATAATTATCAAGGAAATCAACATGTATTGATTGAGAAAATAATTCTTAAACAATATGAGTATTACAAAATATGTCTTAGTGGTCATTACAAAATTAATTACAGCAAAAGACTAATACATGGGAAAGTCCTAACTTATCCTAATGCCTAATCCTCCGCTTCTCTATCAGCTACTCCGGTCAGCCTGGGAAGCTGAAGCCTCACCTGCTTGATCTGCTCACGTACCAAGATATGATCATCGCAGCACAACATCACAACAACAGCAAATGTAAGGGTGAGCTTACAAAAAGAAACAACATATCAAGTAAAATAATCGTAGCAAATCAGCAAGAAACAACAATTACAGCCCATGCAGCCCAGCCCAGCTCATGCTCATGCAGCAATGAGAAACAATGTTCATCTGGCCTTTAACAGCACATTCAACAGGTTCGGTTCCGGGAGTGACCCGTTTCGGTATCTGGACCCAGATAGTACAACTCAGTTTTCTAAAGCCACATGACTACCCACCTAGCATGTGACACAGCGCCTATCATGACTGCCCTACTCAGCTCTAGTATGATGCAGAAATCAGCATATTAATAATTTCAACAATAGCAATTATGTAACAGCTCAGCTAATTCAGCAAATTTTCAGCAAATACAGCCACTCAGCAACCAGCCCGGTAATTTACTACACGTCATATTCAGCGCATTGGGTCATTCTCCCTAGGGTTTTTCACAACATACAATCACAATACTCTATCATTAGGTTATCAATTACTCCTCCTAGGATTCAACAACAATCAATCACATTAATACAACAAATTTCATTCCAAAAACACAGTTCTAGCTCTCTCTCAACACCTCTCATCACTCCCAAATCATCAAAACGACCTAGGGCAAGCTCCCCTTATCTCAATCCGGTGTTTTTCAAGGTGCTCTCGATTATTCAAGCCTAAAATCCACAAGAACTTCCCTACAAACGCAGCCAAGCTCAGAAAATTGAATGGGGATTGGAGAAATTCAAGAAATCCCAAAAGGAAACCATAGAACTTACCAAAAATGGCTTCAATCACTCCCCTCGGCCTAGAATCACGCAAGAGGTTAAGGTTTTCTAGTGATTTGGGGAGGGAATCGACCGAAAATGCGAAGGGAAGAAGAGAGGGGTCGAGGGTTTTGGAAATACCCTCGCGCAGCTCTCTAAGAACCCTTAAATACAGTTTGAAATGCGACGTTCTCGCTACAGCGACAGGTTCTCGCTGCAGCGACACGCCTTCTCGCCACAGCAAAAAACTCAGAAGAAATTGCACTATGATTTTTGCAGAATCTCGCTACAGCGAGACTGCACCCAAAAATGCAGCCTAGACTGTCGCTCTCTCGCTACAGCGAGACCTCTCTTGCTACAGTGAGAAGGCGACAAATGCATGTCTTTCTCCCTGAGACCTCTCGCTACAGCGAGAATCCCCTTGCTATAGCGAGAAGGCCTTGTACCAGAACTTAGTGATGAGAATCAATGAAGGCCCATTGAAGACAAAGACTTGAAGGCATTGGAAGAGCTTCAAGGACCAATGACAAGGGCAAGGGCAAAAAGAATAAATGAAGACTTAGAAAAGATTGTTGCTGTCTTATTTGAAAGAGAGCTCAATTTAGAGTTAGAAAAGTCCAAGATAATCAATTACATATGCTTAGAGGATTTGAACTCTAACGAGTTTTATTAGGATTTAATTATTATGTTTAGTTTATTTATTTTAATATTAGTCATTACTTATTTTGAGTTTTTATTTAGGATAAAATCTTATTATTTTATTTAGTCTATTTGAATTTAGGCTTGTTGGTACAAGAAGCCCATTAGGGTTTGCATTAGTATTAGTTTACAAGCATTAGGCATATATAAGCTCTTGTAAACACACTTTTAATTAGTTTTGAATATAATTTGAGATTGAACACTCTTGTGAGAGCGTGTGACTCTAGGTTCTTGAGTGAGCCAATTTTCTTTGATCTTATCAAGAGGCCAAAACTCTTGTGGCGATCATTCCTTGGCTTATCAATCTTGCGATTGTGGCGCCATTTTCCATTTCTATTCTATTTTTACTTTTTATTAATTTTCTTCTTATTTCAATTCTTATTTGTGCCATAATAATTTCATTTTTATTGTGTGAAATCCAATTCAAGATCGTTTAATTCGGCGACACGGTTTGTGGTTGTCATCAATTGGTATCAAGAGCTTTGGTTAGAATTGGATTGAAAAGTACTGTTCATCGCACGTTGCTCATTCAAAAAAAAAGAGAAAAAAAAATATACTACCAAAAAAAAATTGCAACATACAAAAGTGTGTTTTTGATATATTTCTTCCAATCTTTCACTTATTTTGCTTGATTCCATACAAAAAAAAAATAGTAGTTGTTTAACGATATATAATCTTCTTTAAATTCTTCAATTTTGTCTTATTTGCAATCTATTTTTGAGTGTGCTTATTTCTTATTTAGTCTTTTTTTTTTCTATTGTCTTGTTGCCTTCCTTAGTTTTGTCTTAGAGTTTTCTTTTGTTGGCTTCACTTGAGTCTCATTGATTGATTATCTCTTGGTTTTGGTTAATTATGTGAATTGGAGGTTGACTTCCTTAAGAACTCTTGAGAGCATTTGAGGGGAAAAAGGCAAGAGAGAAATCCTTACACAAAAGCCAATTTAGAGTGAAACACGAGTGAATATCTACTGAGTGAAAACACTTAGCGAGTGGAGAGAACCTTTTCTTTTTGCATTAACTTTTATTGTTTTGTAGAATGTCTCAAGAAGGAGGATCAAGTAGAGAGAGCACTCCTGCCTCGCAAATTGAAAGACTTGCTCAAAGATTTGAAAACATGTTT